ACAAATCAGGAACAAAACTAGCCTAATAGTTTCCTGGGTAATCTGAAGCAGCTCAGAGTTAAGCGAATCTCAGAGTTTAAAGTCTTAAAAGTCAGCTAAATTTTATTTGGTTCTGATTCTCATCCTGTGTTCCTGAGCCCATAGTCTCAAAGTAGGAAAGGGAGTCAAAGAAATACCTACTGGCATTTTAGAGTAAGGTATTTCCTTGGTATTTTGAAATGATGCTTCTGTGTACCAGATATTTCAATGTGTATAGGAAGGGGTACTCAGACTGAATGGAAACTGATGGACACCTGTCCTGAAGTCTGAAATCCCAGGATTTTTCAAACACTCCTTTATGATTGTGTTCCCTTTCTTGAGTCTTCTTTGCCTACTGATACCTCAGTCCTAAAAGGACAAATTCCGCCTTTTTTTTTTTTTGACATACTCATTTTTTTAAAAAGATTTTATTTATTTATATATACAGGAGCTGGGGTACAGGCCAGAGATGCAGGGGAGTGAGAGGATTCACCAGAGACAGAGCAGGGAACAGAACAGGGGGACCGAATGAAATACACTGCCGAGAGGAGCGGCAGGCAAGACAGGAGAGGTCTGCTGCGCCATGTGAGTTGCTCCCTGGATGGCCAGGGATAGAACTCATGCTGCAGAGGCTACGGATTCCTCCATAGTGCGGTGCTTAACTCCTTGCGCCACCAGGGAGGCCCCAGACATATCCTTTTTTTTAAATTTATTTATTTATGCATACAAGAACCAGGGTACAGGCCAGAGGTGTGGGGGATGAGAGGCTTCACCAGAGACAGAGTGGGGAACAGAACAGGCAGATTGACTGAAATACACTGCTGAGGGGAGCAGCAGGAGAGATAGGAGAGGTCTGCTGTGCCAAGTGGGTCATCTCCCTGGCTGGGGATCGAACGCATGCTGCAGTGGCTGCGGATGGCTTCATAGGTTGTGTCTCAATGCTTTGCGCCACCAGGAGGCCCGACATATCCATTTTTTTAAAAAGATTTATTTATTTATGCATACAAGAGCTAGGGTACAGGCCAGAGATGGGGGGCAGTAGGGTGGGGGAGTGAGAGAACTCACCAGAGACAGAGTGGGTAACAGAACAGGCAGACTGACTGAAACACACTGCTGAGGGGAGCAACGGATGAGACAGGAGAGTCTGCCTGGCCATGTGGGTTGCTCCCTGGCTGGCAGGGGATCGAACTTGGTGCTGTAGAGGCTGTGGATTGCTTCATAGTACAGTGTTTAACCCCTTGTGCCCCCAGGGAGGCCCCCCGACACATCCATTTTTTAACTTTGATTTTTTTTTTTAAAAAAAGATTTATTTAATCATTTACACAAGATCCGGGGTATAGGACAGATGCGTGGGAGGGCGAGAGGATTCACCAGAGACAAAATGGGGAACAGAACAGGCAGACTGATGAAATACACTGCTGAGGGGAGCAGCGGGCACGACAGGAGAGGTCTGCTGCGCCATATGGGACCCTCGCTGGCCGGCCAGATCGAACCAGTGTTGCAGAGGCTGCGGACAGCTTCACAGCACGGTGCTCAACCACCTGCACCACCAGGGGAGGCCCTTAAACTTGATTGTTAACGATAGGAAAGGAAAGCTGAAACCACGACAGGAAATGTTCTACTTGCCAAGAACATTTGGGCATAAGGTCCAGGAGGGGCAAAAAGATCTGAACTCTACAGTTTTAACATATGTATCATGGCACAGAAAGATGGACATTTAGGAGATAATCTGTTCAGTACTACATGAGATAGGAAAAGGCTAGTTTAAAATATACATTTTGGGCTTGCCTGGTGGTGCAGGCATTGAAGTCTCAGCGCTATCAAGCTATTGCCAGTAACTGCAGCATGAGTTCAGTTCCCAGCCAGGGAGCTAACCCACTGGCACAGCAGACCTCTCTTGTCTTGCCTGCTGTTCCCCTCAGCAGTGTATTTCCATAGATCTGCCTGTTGTGCTCCCCACTCTGTCTCTGGTGAATCCTCTTTGCCCTTGCGCTTCTGGCCTACACATCAATTCCTGTATGCATAAATAAAAATAAATCTTTAAAAAATAGTAATTAGGGGGCCTCCCCTGGTGGTGCAGCGGTTGAGCGCTGGGCTGCGAGGTTGCCCGCAGCCTCTGCAGCGCTGGTTCGTTCCCCAGCCACCAGCGAAGGTCCCACAAAAAAAAAAGTAATTAGGGGTCTCCATAGTGGCGCAAGGGGTTAAGTCGCAATACTATGAAACTATCCACAGCCATTGTAGCACGAGTTCGATCCCCAGCCAGGGAGCTAACTCTGGCTGCTGAAGACCTCTCCTGTCTCATCCAATGCTCTCCTCAGCAGTGTATTTCAGGCAATCAGCCTGTCCTGTTCCCCACTCTATCTCTGGTGAATCCTCTCACTCCCCGCCCCACACCTCTAGCCTAGACCCCACTTCTCATATGCATAAATAACTCTTTAAGAAATCATTAAAAAATTAAAAAAATTTAAAAATAAAACATACACTTGCTATGCTTATCCTATAATTCCACCATGCCAAATAACCCTTATTGACATAAAAATTGTTTTTTTTGTGTGAACATATTTTATATGTATATAAGACATATCTTATTCCTCCACCACTGGTACAAAGATACACACATGCATAAATATCATTTCCTGGCAGCTAAATGATAGGACCTTCTCAAAAACTGTTCCTGCCCTAGCAGCCATACCCACCTTTTCCAAGTCTGATCCTAGTGGTGACTGCCTACTGACCCCAAAGGCAATCACCATTTCTGTGGTCTCTGTGTCTTCCATCCTTAACTTGCTGGGACAGAGATGGCTTCAGCAGGCCTTCCTTCTGAAAATCTGAAGAATTCTGTAGTTGGCCCTGAAAAGCAAGGAAGGTAGGTGAGAGTCAGTAACAATGTTATTATAAATATTCTTTTGTAGGTAAACCATAAGATTTCAGAGAGGTCAAAGAAAATAGGATATGGTTGATTTAATCTCTTGCTATCTTTCTCTACAACTTCTACCATTATGTAACTGTCATTATTTTCAACTTATTTACGCCCTTTTAAACATGCTTAATTCCTACAAAACTCTTTTCTTGCCTAATCCTCCACAAGTGAAGGAACAGTAGCTTGTAAAATTCTAAAACAAAACATCACATCGAGATATGAATTGTCTTTTTGCATGCAACAAATATTTTGTGGTATGGTATCTGTTGAAATCTTGCATTAAGTTTTGTGAAGTCAGATATCTTGATTTATACAATTTAATGCCAAAACACTTATGAGTATTAATGGAAATGCACAACCAGCTTAACAGAGATAAACGTAAGGAAAAAGGAAAAGAGAAAGAATGGTAGGAAATTCTTGAAGATTGTATGTTGTCTAAACTTGATGTGACTAGAATGTTGGGCATCTTAAGGCAAAAGAACAGGACCTATTTGAACTGATAGAAAACTAATGAGAGGGGCCTCCCCTGGCGGGGCAACAGTTGAGCGCTGGAGCGCCGGTTCGTTCCCGGCTGCCAGCAAGGGTCCCAAAAAAAAAAAAAAAAACTCATTAGAGGAGTGAAGACAGGATGCACTGAAAGGCAAAGACCCCAGTGCATGTATAAACAAAACAAACAAACAAATAAATAAAACATGCCTCTATTAAAAAAAATTAATACATAAAATTATACAGAAGGGAAAAATACCTGTAATTCTACCGTCTATCTCTTGACAGAAAAATTCCATTTTATAATATACATATTTTGCGTGTATATTTGTTAAATAAATGCATTTTCATGGTCAGAACATTGAGACAGAAGATACAAAATAAAGTGAAATCATCCCTCCTCTCTTCCAAAGGCAACCTTTTCTGGTTAATTTTTTGTTTACGTTCAGGAAAAAAAAATTGGTAGCTTTAGATTAAGTTTTAATGAGATGACAAGAGGATATTGAGCTGCGAAGGGATTATCTCTTCAGCCAAATCAGAGAGATTTGGGGTTTGACTGACCTCAAAATAAGCAGAAAACGTGGCTGGAAGAAATGGAGCAATCTGAAAATCAGAATCCCAAGATCTTTCATTAACTTGAAGTCAGTTTACATTCCTTTCCACCCTATTTTTATTTTAGGAGCAAGGGGCAATGTATCCTGTTCTTGGCCTGCTTCCAAATGCTATTGAAATGTAAAGGCCACTGGCAGCCTTTATATACACTCACTGTTATAGAAGGTGCTTGTATACAAAGATCCAGGATGGAATCAAGAGGACAGTTAGCTTCTAGGGTGCTAAGCACCCAGCAAATACAATCAGAATACAATTTTACCTACTTATAAATTGCTAAGTATTAACAATCAGCACATAAAAAAGAGTTACTATTACCATGTTGATTTTTTTAAGGAATTTTTATTGAGCACTTTATGTGCCAGGCAACTGTTTACTGTGAATACAAGTATGGAAAACCAGTAAGTAAAGAAAGACTTCCTGCTTTGAAAAGTTTACAATATAGTTGGGATGAGGAAGGAGACCTATATTAATCAAACACATAAATGTAAAATTATAACCACATTAAGGGCAAAAGGCAAAAATGCAAGTATGTAAGGGTTGATGTTAAATCAGATTGTTGCTGGGGTTTTTTTAAGGGTAAAAGATTTTCATTATATTGAATAGGTTCAATTGCTTAGCTTATCAACAAATAATTATTTTTATAATTTTTTTAAAGATTTATTTAGGCATACAAGAACTGGGCTACAGGCCAGAGATGCAGGGAGAGGATTCACCAGAGACACAGTGGGGAGCAGAACAGACAGATTGACTGAAATACACTGCCGAAGGGTGCAGCAGACGAGTCAGGAGAGATCTGCTGCGCCATGTATGTCACCTTCCTGGCTGGCCGGGGAATCAAACTTATGCTGCAGTGGCTGCGGACAGCCTCATAGGTTTCGTCTTAACCCCTTGCGCCACCAGGGAGGCCCTATGTTTGTAATTTTTATTTAAAAATTATATAAATACTATTACAAAATTAAAACTAAATATATTCACAATCCCAAACTATTTTCATTTTTTCACAAACTGTTAATAAATGAAAACTTTGCTCCAGTTCAAATCTTTGGTTTGTTAGACAAGTTTTGTGACAATGAAAACCAAGGGTTACGGGGCCTCCCTGGTGGTACAGGTGGCTAAGCGGCAGCACTATGAAACAACTGGCAGCTACTGCAGCACAAGTTCGCTCCCCAGCCAGGGAGGTGACCAACATGGTACCTCTCCTGCCTCGCCCGCTGCTCCCCTCAGCAGTTTATTTCAGTTGATCTGCCTGTTCTGCTCCCCACTGTCTCTGATGAATCCTCTCACCTCCCCTCCCCCCATCCTCTGGCCTACACCCTGGCTCTTGTTATGCATAAATAAATCTTAAAAAAAACACACACACACAAAAACAAGGTTTAGGAATATGTACACACATTTCATTTACTCCTTTTGGAACATACTCCACTTTTTAAAAAATATATACTTAATGTCCCTCCTATTCAATACCTGTATCCTGTATGTCCACTCCACCTGTCTCTGAACCTAGCAGTATGATAAATGTATATAGGTTTTGGCATGCTTTGTAATCAAACATTAGCTAGCTTTTTGACTTAGGTTTTTTAGAGAGACAGAGTAGTATGGAGTAAAGTGAGAATACTCAGCAGAAAGGATATTGAGTCCTATGTGCCCTGAAGTTAGCTGTGATTTATAAGATGTGGCTTATAAATCAAGACGCCTCCATTCACAAAGGCCAATGGGAGTTTTTAGGGTGCTATTTACATAAATTAGGTAAAATAGGGTTTTTGCCTAAAGCTAACCTGGACTTTATCATTTCCTATCATTTCTCAGTTGAGGGGGTCCACCATTAGCTGACCCACTCCTTGCTGTGTCTTTGTCTCTGAAGGTAAAAATTTTATTCAGTACTACGATACTGAATGAAAAAAAAAAAAAGGCCCTACCTCTGGCAATTGGGTTAGAGTTCCAAACATCCGTTCACAAGGCTCCTCTGAACGGGCTCCACAGTTAGATTCCACTATCAAGGAGGAAGCCAGCAACACTTCCTGCCCAAACCACAGAATCCTAAAAGTTCTCCCTTTGCTAGTTCAAGAAAGGTATGAAGAATACCATGTTTCAACTCGTAGAAAGTGGGTGTTAATTCTAAAAATAGCTCAAGATTGGTTAGATATCTTTGGTATGATGCCTGGTCATCAGGAAAGCACAGAAAGTCTCGAAATACTCTAGTCCCAGCTACTTGAACAAGCTCTACCTTTCCTAGACATTACCAGTTCCTTTTCCTACCCTTCTCAAGTGACTTCAAAAGATTAGGAATGTGATCTGGATAGGATTAACCCCTCACCTCTTTCCTTAAACCCTACTGAGTCTCCCTAAAGGGAGATGAAACTTACTAAGTGAACAGGTCTGAAAATCAGTTAACAACTCCCATTTTAAACTCTTATATAATCTGAATTCCTATAGGCAGGCTTTAGAATGGAAAAGTAATTCTATAGAAAAACAAATATACCTCTGAAGTTAACTTTAGCTTATGTTTCCTAAATGGCATCTTCTAAGTCAGTCTATGGTTTCCAGCCAGATAAATGCACTGAATTCAGGCTTCATCCTAAAAAGCAGGCCTAGGAAGATTACTGACCCTGTACACATTTGGTGCTGAGATGGAAATAATAATCATCTTAAGAAAAAAATCCTCATGGCACAGTAAAGGTGAAGTAACTTTCCCAAAATCACAAGGTAAATGGTTAAGAAATATTTAAGGATCCAACTTTTCCAAAGCTGTGCCCTTTCCACAACTGGATGAAAAAAAGAAGCTGGGACAACTAAATACTCATTAATCAAGGTTCTAGAAGAAGTAAATACCCTTCCAATATTCAACATAGGGTTTCTTCAGCTGTACACACAAAGACACAAAGAAAAAAAAAATCTTAGTTAAAAAGATGAGCAACTTTGCATTATTTTTGAGAAGTGGGTAGAGAATGACACTCTAAAAGCTCTGTTGAGCCAGTTTATAAATTGCTGACAACAGTGATGTCAAGAAGAACAGAAATTAGAAAACCTAAGGACCAAGTTTCCTTGGTTCCCAATGGGGCCCTCAGCAAGAACAAGAGTGTTCTTGAGGGAGTTCAGCTCCCAGAAGACGACAGGGAGAACCAACACAGTTTTATAAAAAATCTTCACATAGGAAGATACCAATACCAAACCACTATCACCAACTCACTGTTCATCCAGACAGCACTTCTTTTTTCAGACAGCATTATTTAACCTAACAGTCTGACTTGAAGGCAAGTAGCTCTATTAAGTGGGAGAAGAAAGGCTGGGGGGGACAGACATTAGGGGAGTGGGAGTTCACTGTTCTAGTTTTCCTCTTAAGTTCAAATGTATGTAGTTTCATACCAAAAAATCAGAAACATGAGATTAATGTATTTATTCTAAGTAATTTACACATTAAAAATAAAGTTAAACTTGTCCAAGTCAACTCATAAATTCTTTAATCTTTTAAACAAAATGTACAACCCAAAACATCACACTATGGTAAAAATAGCTTGGGAAAGGGAGAGGTAGAGGAAGAATTACAAATGAGTTGTGGAACTGAGAAGTTCAATCCCAAGACAAATTTCAGATCTTCTACCTCTTTAGTAATGGCTGCGAAACAATATAACACAAGTGTTGCTGGATCACAGAACAATGAATGGAGGTCATTTCAAAAATAAAAGGGATCTACAAAGCATATCTGCTCCTGGTATTGAGCCATGAATAAGCCTTACTGACTTGTTGTCTTCTAAAAGTGAGCCTGCTAGATTTTCTTCCATGTTTACAAGGCGATTTCCAAACACATTTGTGGGTTAGCAGGATCAACTGAAGCAAAGGCAACAGAGTGAGGTTGACAGACCTTAAGTAGAAACAGTAAACAAAAGAGCTACTCACACTGCATTTCAAACAATATTAAGGCAGGCCCATCCAAATGGAAGCCTAAGAGATGACCTTCCTTCATCAGTAGTTTTCCATTTCAGCAGACTTTCTGGTGTTTCTCCTAGAGATTCATCAGCTGCCCACAAAATTGGGTGGGAATACAACATAACAATTGGAGAAGTCAGCTGTTTCCCCCTCCCCCACATTCCAGAATGGCAGAGTCAAGGCCAAAATACAATCAAAGCACACTATGTGGTGAGCCAGATAGACATTTGATTTTAATGACAAAGTAAGAGAAAATTGGCAGAAAAAAAAATTAACAGAAAATACATTTTTTTTTTTTACAGATATGTATAGAAGTAGTAATGATTGATTTGTCTGGTATTTTAAGGAGAAAGGAAAAAAGGAAAGGAGGTAAATTTTTTTTAGCTTCCATTAACATTTACTGTTAAGATGCTGACTGTATCTCTTGGTGTAGGTTTCAGATTAAGACAGTAGACCAGTTCTTCACCATCTGGGCACCCGCTTTATGAAGTCAATTTCATTCATCCACATGTAGTTCTGGGTATATTCTTAGTCATGAACACTGGATTCTATGTGGTCCTGGATGGCACCAACTACAGTTACTTGTGCAGTTATTTCCTGAAGGATCATATTGCCTCCAACTACCTGCTCCCTTGCAGGGGACCCTGAAGCCACAGATTTTACCAAATTCAAAGAGTTGTCATTGTCCTCAACTACATGAGGAGTTGCTACCTCTGTGATGGATGCATTCGGTATTTCTAGCTGTAGTGGTCCCATCTCCAGGGAACTACACACAGGAGCATCACCTGACTCAGAGAGAGAACATAACTTCTCTTTCTGAATTCCAGATGTCCGTGTGACAAAGTCAACAAGGTCTGGAAGGCAAGAAGATGGCCCAAGGCCTACAGAGTTAATTGTTTCTGATTCCAATCTTAGTGAATCTTGTTTCTCTAATTGAGAAGTTTCTTCTACTTCCTTGGGCATCATTCCTCCTGCTAACAGGTCAAGGGCTTGATGTGTCCCCTCCAGGTTCCCCAAGCCAAGGTCAACATTTCCTATTGGAAGTCCAGTTTTCAAAATGTTAGAAGTGATCCTCCCACTTCTGGGATTAGATGAGTTTTGTTCACCCTCTGCTCCAAAGTTGAGCACCAGGGTTTTGGAAGAATCTAATGGAAACTCAGAAAAGTCTGTGAGAGTGATGGGATTACATCCTATAGACAGAGAATTTTCTTCACACACTTTTTGAGACACAGCAGGTGGGGATCTATGTAGTGTGTCTACTTGAGTATTACAGAAATCAACACCCGTATCACCCAGGGCAGCAAGATCTTCTACTTTTAAATCTGTAACATCTAAGTTTTCTAAGACCTTGCTTTCTAGTCTTACTGTCAATTCTGGGTGGACATCTGGTAGCTCCAGGGCTTCTGCTTCTCGTTCCTCTGGATCTTCCCAGATCTTTGGCTTCTTGTACTTGTCATCCCAAACAGCCAGTTCACAGATCATTTTACTCTGAAGGTCTTCTGATTTTTCTCTCTTGAGTTTGAGGTTTCTATACTTAGAGGTTGTGGAAGCTGATTCTAGAACTGAATTTTCTATCCATCCTTCACTACCAGCTGAAACTCCTTGTTCCTGTGCTGGGCTGGGGACTGACCGGGCTGGGGACTGAGGAAGCAATTCTGGGGCAGAAATTTTCACAGGTTTATCTTCTGGGTTGTGGAGCAAAGACCTACCTTCTGATGGAAATGACTCTAGTTTTGTCTTTATGGAAGAGTGAGCTTGTGGACTCAATTCACTCATTACTTTACTTTGAGTTTCACTTTCTGTCATCAACTTCTTGGACTGTTCAGCCTTTTTATCAATGACTTGTAACTCAGGTTGTTCTACTTTTCCCTTCCACATGTAGTTGTTACCATGGTTCAAACTGGAATCCTTTATGCTGTTAGGCCCAATGTGGATACCTATCTTCCTCTCAGAAAGTTTAGCTCCCCTTTCTTTTAGTTCAGTGTTTGTCTCTACCTCATTTTCTCCACAGTCCTTAGATTGGTAGAGTTTCTGGCTTTTCTCATCCTGGTCACCAGATTCTATAAGGTGGGCTTCTACCAGCTGCTGAGATTCCATGGGATGACAGTGTATATCTGACAGCTGAGGGACTGGTTCTACACCTGGTGGCCCTGGTTCTTCCAGGTCAAGTTCAATTTCTCCCTCTGCAGACATGTCCCTATTAGCATTACTCTGGAAAGAGCTAGCAGTCCATATGGCCAAAGTGTCTGTCTTTGGGGTAATTGTTTCATAAGGTCTGCTTTGGCACAACCTTGTGAGGGGCTGTAGGAAACCATAGCTGCTGCCTCTGCTTTTTGAGTCTATGGGGTCCACAACTGACCATTTCCCTAGGGAAACCAGAGTTTTTACATTGGGCTTTTCAGAGTTGCTGATTAACGGAGGAGAAGCTGACCTTCTAATTGGAGACAATTCTTCCTGTGATGCACTGCTTTTCAAAGAAGTAGAAGAGGTGTCTGAACTTTCAGCTTTGGAGAGGCTGCTATTTTCCCCGATGGCCAACAAACCACCACTCAACTTAGTCTCAGGGGTTCCCTTTCCACGACTACTGTAGAATATGTCATACAGGTCCTTAGCATTGGCTGTGGCTAAGCACGAATTTCGCTTTTCCAATTTTTTGGCTTGTTCACTAAATACACTTGAAAGGGGAGGTGGAGGACGTACTAACACAGAGAATAGGGTCTGGTCCCGGTCACTCTCACTCACCCCAGGAGCTGTCTCATCAGAAGGCATGGCAGCTGGCTGTGCTGAGGCCATAATGGCTACTGGCAACACTGGGTTCAAAATGTTAGGACCCAGGAAGCCAGGACTGAGAGTGTGAGATACAGCTGTGTTTGGTTTTACTGGCACTAAGACTGCATTTACTTGAGTAGGAGATGGGGCAGTTGGGTGAGATATAACTGGGGGTGGTGGAGGTGGCGGTGGCGGCGGTGGTGGTGGAGGTGGCAGCATCTGTTCTGGTATATGGGATGGCTCAGTCTTTTCAGCCAGTATTATTTTTTCCTCTGGAGACCCTTTCAGAATCACCTCTTCCCCTCCAAATGCTTTGGAGATGATATCGGGAGGCAAAAGGAGATCAGCTGATGACTCTTTAACCACTGGCAGAGGCTTAGCAGTGGTTCCAGAGGACTTGATGGATAGAAAGGTATTAAGAGGAGCTGGCTTGCTCACTGTGGCTGAACCTGACTTGCGGAGTACTGTGGATGGGATAGGCAGATTGGGTCGGATCTTAGTCTGGGTTGAAGTTGTCACAACATGTGTCCATGGACTAGTATGTGCAACAACAGTTTTTCCAGAGAGCTTGATTTTGATGGGTTTTGCCTTCCCAGCTTCAGCTTTGCTATCCTCTTTGTCCTTACTGCTTTCCAGAATCTCTTCCTTAGTAATACTTGACGTCATGACTGAACTTTTTTCTTCCTCTCTTTCTGGCTTTTTCCAGCTGAATTTCCCAAAAGAGGAAGATGATGGTGATTCTTTCTTTACCTCGTCTTTTAACTGGAGTTTGATGCTAGGCCTCCTTCTATTTTCAGTCCTTTCAGGGGAGTTTCCACCCTCAGAAAGTTGATCTTCTAATTCCTCAGAGGCCTTCTCATCCTCCTTTATTTCTTTCACAATCTTTGCCTTTTTGTCTTTCTTCTCTTCCTTTGGTTTTTCACTAAGTTTGCGCTTTAACTCACTCTGCCGTCGCCGTTCTGTCTCTATAACTACAGCCAAGCCTGCCTGGCGGTCCAGATTCCGCCGCTCCTCATACAGTGGGTTTTCATCCACATATTTCTAAGAAGAGAAAAAGTAAAGGCTCAACAACTGGTCAAATGCTATATAAAAAATAATATTAAAAAAAATCTTAGCCCTATCACTATCAGAATTCGTTTAGTAGAACTCCCAAGAGCATCTTCCTCAAGGATAAATGTGTAACAGGTCAGCATCCCTCCCTAGGATTGAGAACTTCCTAGCACCTATATGGAATTTCAAGTGTTCAGTAACTTTTCTGGCTCTGAGATTGTTTGACAAAGTCAAAAGGCTTACTTTACTGCAGAAATGGGGAAACTCCACAGGTTACTACAAAGACAAACCTTGTATTTCTCATTGTGTTGGTGACCCTTTACATGTTGCTCTCCAGAAATTGGATCCCCCAAAAATTCCTCACAGAGCTGGCAGTAAAATCCAGTGATGGGAATCAGAAACTCAGAACCTGGAAGAAATAGAAGAAAGTCAAAAAAAAATAAATCATTCTACCCAGAATGACAGCAACCAAAGGAAATCCCACTTCCCCTTTGCAGTAAAATGGTTAATGGTATAGAGAATCTTACCTACCTACTTTTGAATCAGAAATAGCATTTAGGTTAATCCTAATGGCATAGTTGTTCCAACTTAAAGCTTGAACTCAGCACCTTATACATACCCTCTACTACCTCTTAGGAACACTACCTGGTTAATTCAGAAGTTTCCTGAGCCAGACCCATTTCTGTTGCTGATTCTCCTCAAATTCCAACTAGCATCTTAAAAGATTTAAAACTATGCTCCCAAATAGCTAGCCCAGTACCATTTGTGTGGAGATCTCTTATATTGGTATTAATTACACATGAATATATCTTCTATAGACATAAAGGATGTAGAAGCACTGACTACTTATAAAGGTAAGAAATTGAAAAGTTTAAAGACAAGTTTAAAGACTTTCTACTTCTCAACTTACCCTCTAATAACAATTATTCAAGTAATGTTATTATTCTCAGTTGAAAGGCAGTAAAATTATACCTCTCACTGTTGTTTTTTACCTGGATTTCAAAAAATAAGATTTTGGTGCATAAGCCAGTAACAAAGTTATTTGGCTATATTTCACTGATATGCAGATGTTTAACATCTATCAGATTTTTGGCCTTGTGGATAAAGAACAATCTTATCTCAAAGATCTCTTTATTTCTTCATGACCTAGTATATTGCTCTGCATATAGAAGGCATTCTTACAGTTTTGTTGAAAGTAATGGGTATAAGGGTCTCCCTGGTGGCGCAAGAGGTTAAGCACTGCACTATGAAGCAATCACAGCCTCTGCAGCACGAGTTCGATCCCCAGCTGGCCAGGGAGAAACCCACATGGTGAGGCAGACCTCTCCTGTCTCGCCCGCTGCTCCCCTCAGCAGTGTATTTCAGTCAGTCTGCCTGTTCTGTTCCCCATTCTGTCTCTGGTGGATCCTCTGACCCCCTGCATCTCTGGCCTGTACCCCAGCTCTTGCATGCATAAATAAATAAATCTTTAAAAAAAAAAAAAAAAAGTAATGGGTATGTCTCACTCTATGCTGCTTCCTAGCACTCATTCAGTTCAGGGACACCGCTTCCTTGGCTGAATGTAAGGAAAGCAACCACAAAGGAGAAAAGGAGGAGACATACCTTTTGCAGGAACAGTAATCTTGTCAGTGCGTTTTACAGCATCTTGTTTGGCCTCACTGTGGGTCTTTGAAGCCCAAGGTCTGTTGTAAGGATCCAGTGTCTATTTGCAAGAGGCAGAGGCGCTCACACAATAGCACTAAAAACTTAATGACCCACTTTTCTCTTTTTTCCCCCTATAACCAGGGAGGAGAACTCCCCAGTTTCCCACCCCCACCCCTCTGCCAACTGTTTAAACGGAAATCACCTGTGGAAAAGGTAAACATATGTTAGAGCAAGTACTAGCAATGGATACAAATGAAACGAAAAAATCAGGTACTCAAGGAATCAAAAGAGGCAGAAGCCTCACTTACACGTGTCATGGTGTTTAGTTACAGGCAGGTCCCCTGGACTGAGCCCTAGGGATGATGTCTCCTTTGTTGATACCTCTTGGCTCTTCAGATTGGGGCTCCTGCCCATATGAGAATGTTTCATTTTCCAGCTTTGTAATGCAGATGGGCATACAGAAGTTTGAGGGGAAAGGCAAATAACTGAAGGCAAAATACCTACCTGTGTGTGCTTCTTATTGTGCATATGGGTGAAGAAGTCAAACATGGTCCCACAGATGGTGTTGCAGTCTTTGCACCAATGATTACCAGCATCATAATACTCATAGGCAGCAATGGGCTGATCAGATTGCTTAGCAGCTGGCCGGGGGCTCTCAGCACACTTGGAGCTCTTGGTATGGGAATTTTCACTGTTTACCTTTGATTCCTAGAGGGGGGAAGCATGCATTTAGAGAGAACTCAAGGAATTCTAGATGTGCTATCTCTCAGAAAAAGCAAGTAGCCAACTGCAATAACAGAAATGGGACCATGCAGCCATATTTCCAGTATCTGAAATTGCACAAACTGGAGAAAATCCCATTAGAAGTCTGCATGCGAGATTCAAACAGAACTAATTAGACTCCATACTGCTGTCTCATCATGGAAGCTAAATCATACTGGCAATACTTATATATCATATCACTTATAAATCATACTGGCAATACTTATATATCCTAAAATAACTGCAATACTCAAGATTATGGAATTACTTCCTCTGGGAAGGGGAAAGGGAGAATGAGGCATTGATGAAAGGGAGAATGAGGCATGGAAAGCAGCACTGATACTGCACATAGATTTAAGCAGACATCAACTATATGGGATGACTTAAAAGGAATATGGATATAATTTTTCTAACTGTCCAAAAGACCACCACTAGTGGGCCTCCCTGGTGGTGCAAGCGGTTTAGTAGCAGCACAATGAAGTTATCCATAGCCACTAAAGCACAAGTTCGATCCCTGGCCAGGGAGCCACCCACATGGCCTAGCAAACCTCTTCTGTCTCGCTTGCTGCTCCCCTCAGCAGTGTATTTCAGTCTGCCTGTTCTGTTCCCCACTCTGTCTCTGATGAATCCTCTCACCAGCCCCCCTGCCCCCCCCCCCCGGCACCTCTGGCCTGTACTCCAGTTCTTGTATGCATAAATAAATAAATCTTTAAAAAAAAGTCATGAAAGAGATCACACCTAGCAGGTTAAGTGACAGGCATTCATACATTACTCGTGAGAGTATTACCTGGCACCCTCTTTCCAAAAGATAATCTAGGAATGTATAATCTAGGAATGTATGATGTATACATCAAAATTCTTTACATCTTTTGACCAAGCAATTCCACTCCTTGATATTTATCCTAAAGAAATTACTATGTCAAAAAGCCAGAGGTGGGGGGGGCAGGGCCATGGGAGGGGTAAGGTGGGTGAGAGGATTCACCAGAGACCTCTGGCCGGTACCCAGGTTCTTGTAGGTATAAATAAATACATCTTTTTTTAAAAAAAGAGGTATTGAATTTAAAGACCCTAATGTAAAAAGACTGTAGTCCTTTTTGTTTGAGGAAGTCCTTTATGTTCCCAGGAAGACATGGAAAAATTTGAGCTTGGTTGATGAAGAGTATCTTCTTCTCTACAGCACCCCATTCCCCAACACTAACTGCACATCCACTATGCTAGACATAATAGATGCCATGGGAATCATAAAGGTTAAGTTATACTTTTTTTATTTTCAAGTTCTCAATTAGTGGAAAAGACATGCATAAGAATAGCCATGATTTTAATCATGTCTTAAATATGAGAGATGAAATAAGTTTTAAAAAGAAACAAAGTGTGGGCCTCCCTTGTGGCCTAGGGGTTATGTCTCAGTGCTTCCACCACAATGGCCTGAGTTCCATCCCCGGCCAGGGAACTAACCCACATGACACAGCAGACATCACTTGTCTCACCCGCTGCTCCCCTTAACAGTATATTTCAGTAGATCTGCCTGTTCTGCTCCCCACTCTATTTCTGATGAATTTTCTCACCACCCCCACCTTCCCCCACACCACATCTCTGGCCTATACCCCAGTTCTTCTATGCAAAAAAGAAATAATTTTTTTTAAAGATTTATCTATTTATGCATACAAGAGCTGGGATACAGGCCAGAGATGTGCGGGGGCGGGTGAGAGGATTCACCAGAGACAGAGTGGGGAACAGAACAGGCAGACTGACTGAAATACACTGCTGAGGGGAGCAGCGGGCTAGACAGGAGAGGTCGGCTTCGCCATGTGGGTTGCTCCCTGGGTACTTGGGGATCGAACTAGTGCTGCAGAGGTATGGACTGCTCCACAGTGCGGTGCTTAACCCCTTGAGCCACCAGGGAGGCCCCCAAAATTAATAAATCTGGGCCTCCCCCAGTGCCGCCGGTGGTTGAGTGCAGTGCTGTGAAGCTGTCCGCAGCCTCTGCAGCATGGGTTCGGTCCCTGGCTGGCCAATAAGAATCCCATATGGTGCAGCAGACCTCTCCTGTCTCTCCCGCTGTTTCCCTCAGCAGTGTATTTCAGTCAATCTGCCTATTCTGTTCCCCACTCCGTCTCTGGTGAATCCTCTCACCCTTCTGCGCATCTGGCCTATACCCTAGTTCTTGTATGCATGAATAAATAAATCTTAAAAAAATAATTAAAAAAATAAATCTTTAGGGCCTCCCTGGTGGTGCAGCAGTTGAGCACTGGGTTGCAAAGCTGCCCGTAGCCTCTGCAGCGCCGGTTTGATCCCCGGCTGCTCCCCGGCCACCGGAGGAGGGTCCCACATGGCGCGCAGACCTCTCCTGCCGCCCGCTGCTCCCCTCAGCAGTGTACTTCAGTCTACCTGCTCTGCTCCCCATTCTGGCTCTGGTGAATTCTCTCACCCTCCGGCGCTTCTGACTGTACCCAGTGCTTGTATAAATAAATAAATAAACAAATCTTTAAAAAAAAAAAAAAAGAGTAAATGTAGTACAGGAACATGGAGGGCATTGGATGAACACTGAGGATTTTAGATTCTACTATGTGACAAAGGGGGACTTAAAATTCTTTTTTTTTTTAAATTTATTCATGCATACAAGAGCTGGGGTACAGGCCAGAAATACGGGGTGTGAGAGGATTCACCAGAAGACAGAGTGGGGAACAGAACAGGCAGATTGACCGAAGTACACTGCTGACGGGAGTGGAGCAGCAGGCAAGACAGGAGAGGTCTGCTGCGCTATGTGGGTTGCTCCCTGGCCAGCTGGGGATCGAACTGGTGCTGCAGAGGCTGCAGATTGATTCACAGTGTGGTGCTTAACCCCTTGAGCCACCAGGGAGGCCTGGACTATTAAAATTCTGAAGGGAAGTTCCATAATCTGATCTCTGCCTTAAGAAACCAAGAGAGTAAGGAGCCTCCTTGGTGGCGCAAGGGGTTAAATCTCAACACTATGAAGCTATCACCAGCTGCTGCAGCACAAGTTTGATCCCTGGCCAGGGAGCTACCCACATGGCACAGCAGACCTCTCTGGTCTTGCCTGCTGTTTCCCGCACCTCTGGTCTGTACCCCAGTTCTTGTATGCATAAATAAATTTTTTAAAAAAGAAAACAAGAGTAAGAACAACTTGGAAAAGGAAGCTAAGAAAATGATTATTTAGAAAGTTTCAGAAGAATCAATGGGAATAAAAGGTATAACAGAAATGGAAAGGTTCTTACCTTGCTGCTGGAAGAGGACAACACTTTTTCTGGGCTCTTAGATTTTTCTGCTTTCCCAGGCTTCTCTGTAGGTTCTTTACTGTCATTTGATGACTTCTGTGATTTATCCAAAATGTTAATGCCCAAGATCTGAGCTACTTTGTCCAGTTCAGACTGCTTCTTTTCTGCCTCTTCTGCCTCTTGTCTAAGTTCTGCAATGTCCTTCATAATGTTGTCCTGAAGCCGACTCACCTCCACTAGGAGTGGGTCTTTGTGGCCATCTTTTTCCCTTCGTTTCTTACGCAGCATTTCCCCTGAGTATTCAAGTGACAACAACAACAACAACAAAACACAAAGAAGAGCATACTATTCATAAATAGTAATCTCTTAAGCCTTTAGGTCAAAAACTCTTTTCCCAAATAAATTTCTAAGAGCTAGTTAAGACTCTTCCTCCACATGGATTAATTTAGGTAAAGCTTCTATGGAATAAAAGGATGTGTAGGGTTAATTAGCTAAGGATTTAACTTTGTTATGGTCTTTTCTCATTATATAAGTGAATTCCTAAGAGGAAAGATGAAGAATGGGATCAATAGAGGCATCATGTGGGCCTCCCTGGTGGCACAGGGGTTAAAGACAGTGCTATCAAGCTATCACCAACTACCGCAGCACGAGTTCGATCCCCGGCCGGCTAGAGAGCAACCCACACAGCACAGCAGACCTCTCCTGTCTCTCCCACTGCTCCCCTCAGCAGTATATTTCAGTAGATCCACCTGTTCTGCTCCCCACTGTCTCTGGTGAATCTTCTCACTTCCCCCCATCCCCTCACCTCTGGTCTACATCCTAGTTCTTGTATGCATAACTAAATAAATCTTAAAAAAAAAAAAAAAAAGGCATTGTGGAACATCTTTTCATGCCAAAAAGAAAGTACTCGAAAGATGGGGACATATCAAAAGGACAAAGAATCAACTTTGAAGGACTGATCAAATCTAGGGCAATTTGCTCATGAAAATAAATGATGGCAATAAAATACAACCTCCTGAATGAAAAATCCATGAATTCACACTAATATAAATAGATAAATAAATGGGAGAAAAAGATGGTAGAAAGTTCCTCCTTACACAAAGTCAACAAGGTAAAAGTGATAATAAAATTGGAAAATCATTATTTAACAACCATCATATTAACAACTGATGTAGGCAAGATACATTCATGAATGCTGAAATGAGCAGGCAGAAGTTTGAGGAGGGATGAGATATTTACATAGTCTCACTGTATCTCCCCTTTATGATACCTATCTATTAAAAAAAGGTAAAATAATAACTTTACAGTAGAGTAACCAGCAGGCACCACCTTAGCCAAATGATCAAAGTTGACATTACCTATAGTAAAATCAAATCAACACCTGATATGAACTCAATCATTTCTGTGATATTATGACCATCTTTTTGCCTGTGTTATACAAAAATACATAACTTGAAATTAAAGAAAACACAAGACAAACCAAAACTCAAGGGCATTCTATAAAGCATGCCACTGCTCTTCCTTTTTATTTTTTTTCAAAAGATTTTATTTATTTATTTATACAAGCACTGGGTATAGTCAGAATCGCGGGAGGGTGAGAGAATTCACCAGAGCCAGATTGGGGAGCAGAACAGGCAGACTGACGAAGTACACTGCTGAGGGAAGCAATGAGCGGCAGGAGAGGTCTGTGTGCCCTGTGGGACCCTCGCCAGCGGCAGGGTATCCAACCAGCGCTGCAGAGGCTGTGGGCAGCTTTGCAGCCCAGCGCTCAACCGCTGTGCCACCGGGAAGGCCCTCTTCTATTTCTTTTTAAAGATTGATTTATTTATCCATACAAGAACTGGGGTATACAGGTCAGAGGTGTGAAGGGTGAGAGGATTCACCAGAGATAGAGTGGGGAACAGAACAGGCAGATTGACTGAAGTACACTGCTGACAGGAGGAGCGGGCAAGTCAGGAGAAGTCTGCCACGCCATGTGGGTTGCTCCCTGGCTGGCCGGGGGATCGAACTCATGCTGCAGTGGCTGCAGACAGCTTCATGGGTTGTATCTTAACCCTTTGTGCCACCAGTGAGGCCTTGCGACTGCTCTTCTAAATTGTTAGTGTCATGAAATAGATTCAGAACTTTTTTATTATTATTAAAGATTTTATTTATTTTTGCAAAGAAGAACTGGCATGTAGGCCAGAGGTACGGGTAATGAGAAGATTCACCAGAGACAGAGAGAGGAGCAGAGCCAGCAAATTTACTGAAATACACAGCGGGCAACACAGGAGAGGGCTGCTGCACCATATGTAGGTTAGCTCCCTGGCCGGGGATCAAACTCAGTCCATCACAGTGGGCCATCTAGGTAATAGTCCTGAGACTTAACCCCTAGGCCACCAGGGAACCCCAATTCAGGAACTATAATATATTAAAAGAAACTAAAAGAATATGGCAAATTAATGCAACACATAAACCTGCATTTTCCTGTGCTTTCAGACATTATTGGGACAACTGGTAAAGTATGACTAAGATCATTAATCTAGAACTGTATTACTGTTTATTTCCTAATTTTGATAAGAGTATTACAGTTATGCAAGTGGAATTATTTGTTGTTAGGATACACACTGAACCATTGCCGAGTAAAGAGTCATCATACCTACAACTTACTCTCAAAGAGTTCAAGAAAAATTATATATACAAATATATAATGGAAGGGGGGGGGGAAAGTGATAGTGTAAGTATACAGATCCTCCTTGACTCACAATAGGTTTATATCCCAATAAACTCATTGTAAGTTGAAAATATCACTGTTTGAAAATGCATTAATATACCTAACCTCCTGAATCATAGCTTAGCCTACCCTATGTTAAACATGCTCAGAACACTCACATTTCCTGACAGCTGAGTAAAATCATCAGTCTATTTTACAGTGAAGTGTTGAATATCTCATGTATTTTATTGAATACTGTACTGAAAGTGAAAAACAGTCCTATAGAATAGCAGTTATTTACCCTTATGATCACATGACTGAGCTACACAGCTCATTGCTGCTGCCCAGTTTCACATGAGTATCATACCATACATGTCACTAACCTAGTAAAAGAACGAAATTCAAAGTATACTTTCCACAGAATTCATATTGCTTTTGCACCACTGTAAAGCTGAAAAATTAAGTTAAACCATCAAGTCAGAAACCATTTATAGTAAAATGCTAAGAATTGTGAAGAATATCTGCAAAGAAGTGACTGATACCTTGTTGCTTATGAAGTCGGTCCAACTCAGTTCTGAGATAGTACATCTTCTTCTGACGAGCTTCCCGGTCATTCTTTAGTTTTTCCCTTTCTTCAATAACCTGAAAAGTATAGAACAGGAAGAGTTCTCCGGTTGCTAATATTCTTCCTTTTCTTCTACTATCTTCCCGAATCCCTCATGCTAGATAATATCTGAATGCAAGGATTCAAATGCCTGAACAGAGGCTCTGACTTGTCAAGGCAATAGTTCATTTCAATCTAAATTCCATAAGAGAATTATTCTTTATAGAGCTACATTGTCCAGAAAGTATTATGCTATGCAGGAAGCACCTTACTATCAATATTAACCTAAAGCTATTGATAGCAACTCTTTTTAAAAGACATTTATTCAGTGTCATGATCAGATGATTAGATTACATTTAGCAGTCAAAAGCATAGATGCTGGGCCTCCCTGATGGCGCAATGGGTTAAGATGCAACCTATGATGCTACCTGTAGCCACTGTAGCACTAGTTCGATCCCTGGCCAGGGAGCTACCACATGGCGCAGCAAACCTCTCCTGACTTGCCCCTTCTCCCCTCAGCGATGTATTTCAGCCAGTCCGCGGGTTCTGTCCCCCACTCTGTCTCTGGTGAATCCTCTCACCTCCCACACCTCTGGCCTTTACCCCAGTTCTTATATGCATAAATAAATAGATCTTTAAAAAAAAAAAAAGAGCATAGATGCAGGGGCCTCCCTGGTAGCACAAGGGGTTAAATGTCAGCACTACGAAACAATCTGCAGCTACTACAGAAGTCTGATCTCCAGCCAGGGAGGTGACCCACATGGCACAGCAGACCTCTCCTGTCTTGCCCACTGCTCCCCTCAGCAGTGTATGTCAGTCAATCCACCTGTACTGTTCCCCACTCTGTCTCTGGTGAATCCTCTCACCACCCCCTTGCCCCCGCCTCTCTGGCCTACACCCCAGCTCTTGTATGCATAAATAAAATCTTTAAAAAAAAAAAAAAAAAAAAAACCCTTTGTAGGGATGCTTTACTTTTCTATAGAACAGAAATTAAAATAACGTGTTAGGGCCTCCCTGGTGGTGCAAGGGGTTAAGCACCGCACTATGAAGCAATCCACAGCCTCTGCAACACGAGTTCGAGCCCCGGCCGGCCAGGGAGTAACCCACATGGCGCAGCAAACCTCTCCTGTCTCTCATGCTGCTTCACTCAGCAGTGTGTTTTGGGTGGTCCGCCTGTTCTGTTTCCCACTCTGTCTCTGGCGAATCCTCTCACTGCCCGCAGCTCTGGCCTGTACCCCAGCTCTTGTATGCATAAATAAATAAATCTTAAAAAAAAAAATAATAGCTGGGCCTCCCCAGTGGCACAGCAGTTGAGCGCTGGGTTGTGAAGCTGCCCACAGCCTCTGCAGCGCCGGTTCAATTCCCTGGCCACCAGGTGAGGGTCCCACATGGCGCGCAGACCTCTCCTGGTGCCCGCTGCTCCCCTCAGCAGTGTACTTCCGACAGTCTGCCTGTTCTGCTCTCCACTCTGTTTCTGGTGAATTCTCTCACCCTCCCGCGCTTCTGACTGTACCCAGTGCTTGCATAAATAAAATAAATAAATAAATATTAAAAAAAAAAACTTGTTATACAATTAGTTACAAATACAGCCTCAAGTTTTTTGCCCATACACATAAGTATTGTTTTGATAGCCACCAAATCTAGTGATTCTGTGTCCAAAGGGAAACTATCAACACGGAACTAATATGTTATGGCTGATGCATATTATTAGTTGCATTATATATATCACCTTATTTAATCCTTGTGACAATATCTCTATTTTACAGTAAGAAAACTGAGGTTATTGGGCCTCTCTGGTGACGCAGGGGGTTAAGCACCGCACTATGAGGCAATACACAGCCTCTGCAGCATGAGTTCGATCCCTGGCAGGCCAGGGAGAAACCCACATGGCGCAGCAGATCTCTCCTGTCTCACCCACTGCTCCCCTCAGCAGTGTATTTCAGTCAGTCTGCCTGTTCTGCTCCCCACTCTGTCTCTGGTGAGTCCTCTCACCCCCTGCATCTCTGGCCTGTACCCCAGCTCTTGTATGCATAAATAAATCTTTAAAAAAAAAAAAACTGAGGTTATTAAAGATAAAGTAATATATCCAAGATCACAGAATAAGACTTAAAATCCAGGTATAGTCTTAAAGCTTATGATCTTTCAGGCCTCCTTGGTGGCGCAAGGGGTTAAGACACAACATATGAAGTTGTCTGCAGCCTCTGCAGCATAAGTTCGATCCCCTGCGGGCCAGGGAGCAACCCACATGGTGCAGCAGGCCTCTCCTATCTTGCCAGCTGCTCCCCTCAGCAGTGTACTTCGGTCAATCTGCCTTTTCTGTTCCCCACTCTGTCTCTGGTGAATCCTATCACCCCCACACCTCTGGCCTGTACCCCAGCTCTTGTATAAATAAATAAATCTTTAAAAAAAAAAAGCTTATGATCTTTCAAATATATTATTACTTTTTAATAGAAAAAACAAGCGGGGGCTTGTCTTTAATGATCTGGTGTGCAAAATCTGTATTATTACCCCTGAGTTAAATACTAAGTTCTTAAAGGAAAAGTAAAGAAAAAACACCAAATCTCTAAATAGTGCCTCTGAAGTCTTAAGTTTAATCTTTATTAAACCTACCCTGGGCCTCCCTGGTGGAGCAAGGGGTTAAGATGCAAACTATGAAGCTGTATGCAGCCTCTGCAGCACGAGTTTGATCCCCGGCCAGCTAGGGAGCAACCCACATGGGGCAGCAGACCTCTCCTGACTTGCCTGCTGCTACCCTCAGCAGTTTACTTTGGTCCGTCTGCCTGTTCTGTTCCCTACTCTGTCTCTGGTGAATCCTATCACCCCCCACACCTCTGGCCTGTTCCCCAGCTCTTGTATGCATAAATAAATAAATCTTTAAAAAAAAGAAAAAAGCTTTACTATTAAAAAAAAAACTATCCTCCTCCTTCCCAAAAGATTTCAATAATATAAAATAATGGATGTTCTGGGTATCCAAGGACAAAGGAAAATTAAGAGGAAGTGTTTTTTTATCTTCCAAAGGAATTAGCTAAATTTATTTTAAACTAGTAAAAAATTAAATTGGCCCTCAAATTCTTCCTTTTCTCAGGTCTAATTATTTTATTAGCAAACCAAAATGTATACCTATTATTTTCTAAACAAAATGAGTATTACAGAACTTTGAAATTAACAATGTTTTTTAATTTTTCATTTGAAAATCGATTCTGAGCCTCCCCGGTGGCACAGTAGGTTGAGCAATGCGCTGTGCAGCTGTCCGCAGCCTCTACAGCGCGGGTTTGATTCCCGGCTGGCCAGGGAGCAACCCACATGGTGCAGCAGACCTCTCCTGTCTCACCCTCAGCAATGCTGCTCCCCTCAGCAGTGTATTTCAGTAGATCTGCCTGTTCTGTTCCCCCCTCTGTCTCTAGTGAATCCTCTCACCCACCTCACTTCTGGCCTATACCCCAGTTCTTTTTTTTTTTTTTTTTAAGATTTATTTATTTATACAAGCACTGGGTACAGTCAGAAGCACGGGAGGGTGAGAGAATTCACCAGAGCCAGAGCGGGGAGCAGAGCAGGCAGCAGAGCAGGCAGAAGGACCAAAGCACACTGCTGAGGGGAGCAGCGGGCGGCAGGAGAGGTCTGCGCGCCATGTGGGACCCTCCTCCGGTGGCCGGGGAGCAGCCGGGGATCGAACCGGCGCTGCAGAGGCTGCGGGCAGCTTCACAACCCAGCACTCAACCGCTGCGCCACCGGGGAGGCCCTATACCCCAGTTCTTGTATGCATGAATAAATAAATCTTTAAAAAAAAAAAAAAAAAAAAAGAAAATCTTCAATTCTGTATTTTCCCCTACTGCTCTAAAACATCCAGGAATATTATATCTTTACCCCAGCCACTGTTCCCTTCCTATGGCATGGAAACCCAGAATGTGTAAAAACTGCTTCAAAAAAAAATGTCATAAAAGTATGGGCCTCCCTGGTGGCGCAAGGGATTAAGCACAGCACTGTGAAGCTATCCATAGCCTCTGCAGCATGAGTTCGAATCCCCGGCTGGCCAGGGAGCTACCCCCATGGTGCAGCAGATCTCTCCTGGCTCGCCCACTGCTCCCCTCAACAGTGTATTTCAGTCTGCCTGCCTGTTCTGTTCCCCACTCTCTGATGAATCGTCTCAATCCCCTGCATTACTGGCCTGTACCCCAGTTCTTATATGTATAAATAAATAAATCTTACCAAAAAAAATATGTTTTTACTCCTGGATGCTAAGATAAATAAGAATAAGCAAAGGTTGTTTCTTGGCATGTTTTAATTACCAAGCAAGAGCTAGCTATTAGTTTTTACTCCATAATCACTTTATGACAAAGATCCAAAACTCATTGGGATACAACAGATTTACTGATTTGCCCTCACCCAATGCAATCTGGGTGGTTCCCCACCACGTGATGAGGTCATATTGAAGACTTCAAGGCTCTCAGTTCCTGCACATAGTGTTCTAAGACCCTTAATCTAGATCATGAAGGAAACAAGAGTTTAGCAATTATAGTGGGAACGAAGACCAAGATTTTTGTTTAGCCCTTACAAGAAAACGTGTGAGAAAAACCTCCAAATAATTTAAAGTAAAAGGGCCTTACATACTTTTAGCTCCTTCTAAAAGATAAATAGAGGGGCATCCCCAATGGCGCGGCAGTTGAGCGCTGGGCTGCGAAGCTGCCCGCAGCCTCCGCAGCACCAGATTGATCCCCGGCTGCCCGCAAGGGCCCCACATGGCCCGGCAGACCTCTTCTGTCTCACCTCTGCTCCCTTCAGCAGTGTACTCTGGTCCTTCTGCCTGTTCTGCTCCCCGCTCTGGCTCTGGTGAATTCTCTCACCCTCCCGCGCTTCTGACTGTACCCAGTGCTTATATAAACAAATAAATCTTTAAAAAAAAATAAAATAAAAGATAAATAGAAATTTACGTTAAAATAATAGAGATAAGATACCAAAAGTTAATATTCACCTTCAGCTTCTGGGAAGCACGGTTCTTCTCATCAGAGATTTTCTCCGGATTATATCTTATGAGTGATGGGATAGACACTTGGACAGGCACTTGGACAGAAGGAACTGCTCCTAGCACTGAAGACTCCTGTTTGGGTTTATCAGGAGTCACAGTGGGGATCACACGGAGATTGGGACGGCTACGAGTAGTTTGTTTGGTGACTGGAATCACCCTGTGTGGTTCAGAGAGAGGGAGGTTTGATGGTTGAGAGGTGGGGTAAATGGGCCACCGTGAGGCTGCATATGCCATGTAATGCCTGTAGGCATCAAAGGAGGCAGAGGGAATGGCAGATCCTTGGTAGTTTGGAGGTATACGAGCTGCAGCAAACTGAGAGGCCCTTGGCACATGAAACTGAGATAAAGAAGCAGGGTGTGGAAGTCTAACTGGGGTAGATGCAGTTGACGGCAACATACACCTGACTGCAACAGATGACTGAAATCCACTGCCAACCACATCTTGTCCTGCAATAATACCCATTGGATGGTCAGACTTTAGGAATGGTGGACTTTTTTTTGTGAGAAGATAAGGATCCACAGGGGAGACTGGGTTTGAATGGGACACTTCGGGGGAATGAGTATTGCTATGGTGTGCCTCCCGGCTCTCCAGTCTGTGAGGATCGGAGGAGCATCGATCAGCTGAGAACCGATGGTCAACTGAAGAACAGCGTTCAGCTGAGAAGTGATGGTCAGCTGAAGAACGGCGATCAGATGAAGAGCGTGATGGCTTCTTGCCATGAAGTCGTTCTTGGGTGCGTACAGCCAGTTTACTAATCTCTGCTACCCCAATATCCAGCCCTATGGTCTTGAGCAAATCATGAATCTTGGCATATTCTGGATTAGTCTCTTCTCTAGATTCTAGCTTTATACCTGGAACTGGAGTGGGTAGGCAGCTTGTTTTCTGCCTCATAACTTCACTCTCAGAGACCCCAAGGGACTTTGGTGGAGAGTCTGCCTTTAAATCCTCTTCTTCATCCCCATAAAGAAATTTCTCCTCATCTTCAATGTCTGGAAAACTACGTCGCCTTTTTTCTTGTGTACTGGTAGTATCTGCCAACATACTCAGAATACGAGAAAATCCACTGCCATCCTGGCTAGCTCTTTCATGGGGCAGCAAAAAGTCTGAGTGCCGCTCAGAACCATCAGCCTTCATATCCAATTTCTCTTTGTGGCACAGAAAACTTCCAAACTTTTCTCTCAGAGGACTACTCTCTTTGGGCAGCCCAGGGAGGGGACTCCACTGGTACGGGTTACATGAAGATTCCTTCAACGAAGTATCTACCATAGTTCCCTTATTGTCTTCAATCTCTGAGGCAAAAGCAGCAATAGCACCACTTAGTGGAAGGGACGAGTGTGCAGAGTAGAGAGGGTGATCCTGCCTGGAACTGTTACTGCTGGCAAAACTCTCAAGCTGAAAAGACAAACATAACTAATTTAGCCTTTATACAGAATCTCAGAAAAAATACCAATGAGATAAATACTTAATCTCTGGAATTAGTAGGAAAATGAAGAATTGATTAAAGGACAGCAAATCCTTAGTCAGGTTTAGGATTTAGGCATTCATCTCTCCAGATGTTCCTACTATAGCAGAGGAAATAGGCAGGCTAGGTAAATCCTTACTTTTGTCCATTTATTGTAACCCTTATCAAGGAAACAGAATACAAAGGTACTTTAAAGATGCCCCAAGCTTGTTTTCTTTTCTATGAATCACCAAAAGAAAAACATTAAGGGGCCTCCCTGGTGGTGCAGGTGGTTGAGCGCAGCACTATGAAGTTGTCCGCAGCCACTGCAGTAACGGTTCAATCCCTGCCGGCCTCGAAGCAACCCACATGGCGAGCACACCTCTCCAGTCTCGCCTGCTGCTCCCCTCAGCAGTGTGTTTCGTCAGTTTGCCTGTTCTGTTCCCCACTCTGTCTCTGGTGAATCCTCTCACCCTCCGGTGCATCTGGCCTGTACCCCGGTTCTTGTATAAATAAAATAAATCTTTAAAAAAGAAATGAACACATTAAAAGCAGAGCTGGGCCTCCCTGGTGGCATAAGGGGTGGTAAAGACACAACCGATAAAGCAATCCGCAGTCACTGCAGTACGAATTCGATCCCCGGCCAGGGAGCTACCCACATGGCACCAGCAGACCTCTCCTGACTCACCCACTGCTCCCCTCAGGAGTGTACTTCAGCTGATCTGCCTGTTCTGTTCCCCACTCTGCCTCTGGTGGGTCCTCCCACCCACCACGCCTCTGGCCTATACCCCAGTTCTTGTATGTATAAATAAATAAATCTTAAAAATAAAATAAGACAAAATAAAATAAAATAAAAGTGGAGCTGCTTTGGTTGAAGCAGGTCCAGGAAGTTCTGAAAAACTAATTGATTCGTCTCCCATGGTTCCCTGAGGCACTTACTCAGACACCTTAGGTTCCTACAGACAGTGCTCTTGCTGGGGAGCACACTCATAAATATGGGGAAAGAAGAAATCAAGGCCCAGAATGGTGAGGTGACTTGCTAAAAATCACATAGCAATTTAGTGGCAGAGGTGGGTCCAGAGTCAGAAACACCTCATTTCTGATCCAGCGTCCTCCCACTCATACATTCTGTCCTCTCTCTGAAGAGATAAGGAAATTACAGATTATCTCTTCCTATGCCCTTATAAGCGTCATCCCAAGACACCCACATTCTAAGATTCCTACAGGACTAGTAGCCAATGTAGAGAAAAAACTTATAAGGCATACTTGCCAAAAGGTCTGCTTAGAGAGCCCAACCATGACAACAGAAGCCCTCTACTAATGCATTTGGAACCTACAGATTGCTCTGGACAGTTCTGGGAGGTGCAGCTCATAGGCATGACAATGTTGGTGCAGCACATGTTACCCACATAGCCTCAGGGACTCAGACCCCAGCACAGTAAGCAGGCTTCAAGGTAGTGGAGGGATTAGCCAAGAGACCCTGAAGAAATACAGCAGAGACCTGCATGGTAGGCTCCACGTCCACTTCAATCCGCTTCTTCAGAATGGACTTCTTGGGCATCACAGAGCCTTCCTCAGGCCGGTGTAAAGAAAATGCTGGCCCCGAGGCAGGTAGGACACCTGACAATCCAGGGATGGGGCAGCTAGTGCCACCACCATCAACTTCCACCAGCTCCTGACTCAGACTCCTACTCCGTTCCTCCTCTTCCTCTCGTTTTCTCCTGGCAAGATCCAGCTCACGAAACTCAGGGTCCAGAAGCCTAGGGCTCGGGCTTCGTCTACGCTGTCTATAGTTGCGCATCCCTGGCGGGTAGCTGGGGTGATCATCTCCCTTGCAGTGGATCTTCTCTGTGTCGTCGTAACGGGGCCGCTTGGCCTCCCGGCTCCTTTCCTCAGGTCGGAGACAGTAGGAGCCTTTCAGTTTGTCTCGACTCCGTTCTGCTCCCCGCAGCAGCTCATCGTGACAACTGATGTGGGGACGATAGTCAGAATGATGCACGAAAGCCTCTCTTGCTCGATAGTCCTCATCAGGCTGTCCCAAGAAGGGACTGAGAGGCCCCTCCTCCTGGGAAATATAGCGTTCAAGACCTCGAGGGCACTGGGAGCTTCGAGTGAAGACAGAATCATCAGTCAGGTCATCCCTGAGGAGAGACAAGCACAACTGAATATAACAGATGTGGAAGGAGCAAGGCCAGACAGGCGAAGAGACTGATAACTGGCAACAAAGCCGTACAATACAGTCTTAGGGCAAGAGACAGTGATCATGGAGCCCGAGAACAAGCCTATGCGTAGACATGGCATGTCCCTTTCTCTGGTGCACAGCAGCTTCAGTCTCTAAGAAGGGGACTTATAGGGCCTCCCTTGGTGGCACAGTGGGTTGAGAGCAGCACTGTGAAGCTGTCCGCAGCCTCTGCAGCACCAGTTCGATTCTCAGCCTGTCGGGGAGAAACCCACATGGCGCCGCAGACCTCTCCTGTCCCACCCACTGCTCCCCTCAGCAGTGTCTTCAGTCCGTCTGCCTGTTCTGTTCCCGGATCTGTTTCTGGTGAATCCTCTCACCCTCCCGCAGATCTGGCCTGTACCCCAGTTCTTGTAAAAACAAATAAATCTTAAAAAGAAGAAAAAAGGAAGGGGACTTATGACCAAGCTACCCAGATGGACTTCCTAGGCGCATCTCTCTGACAAGACACTGGGGATGCAGAGTACTGGGAGCCGTGAAAACACCACTGACAGGCTACAAAGAGCCTCAGCCTCTACAATTCCACCCTAGCTAAGCTCTAACTCTTTGCTGCTAGCAGCACCAGTATCACCAGGAAACCTGTTAGATATATAGATGATCAGGAGCTACTTTTGTTTACTGGATTCCAAGAAATGGCTTTTCTCTGCTTATTCATCCTTGATTTTCTACCTCTGAGTCAAGTTAGCAAAGCATCAAAGAGTTGCCTCTTGTTACAACCCTCCAGCAGTGCCTGTCTTCCAATTTTAGACCTGGGCAACATTGATGAATAGCTTGATGAAAGACCAGGCAGCATTAACTTTATCACCTCCTTTGTAATAAATGCCACCTGTGGGAATCCAGATTTAAGTTACTCTTCTTCTCCCCAAGAATCAGGAGGATTTTAAAGTCTCGATGGAGTAGGAAATAACAAAGAATAGGAATGAATCAAGAATCTCTGAAATTAAACACAGGCAGAGTAAAACATTTTACTCTGTAGGAGTCTCACAGCTGATTGCAGGGAAGAATAGATGAGTTCAGTCACTCCATAAGCATCAACCACAAAGTCTCTGATCATAGTCCTGTAGGGATAAACAGGCTCAATGGCAAGAGTCCCTTTGCCCATGCTCCCATTTTCAGCTCCCCACTAGAACTCTAATATGCCAGCCACCAAATGACAGATAGCCCCAGGTCTAATCCAGCACTAATAGCAGGAAGCTAGAAAAAATGTGATGGCTCTCAGAAGTGTCAGTTCAGAATTGCAGTCTTCAGCAAGAGATGGAAAGTACAAACACAAACACACACACGAAAAAAATAGAAACTTAAATATATAAAACTAAAAAAATGACCTATCATGTAAATACAGACAGAAATCATGTTTCCAATTAGAAGCTCACATCCTCCTTCCCTCCTTCCCCAGAGAGAACTTGCCACAGTAGAAGTGAGTCCCAAGAAGGGCCCCATCTACTGGAGCCAAGAATAGTCCAGTGTCAGACTCTCTTTGAAAGCCTTAGCGAAATTCAACTCTTTTCTAAAATAGTCTACCACGTTTTTTTCTAAAAATTTATTTATTTATGCACACAAGTGCTGGTTGTAGGCCAGAGGTGCAGGAGGGTGAAAGGATTCTCCAGAGAGAATGGGGAGCAGAGCAGGCAGATCTACTGAAGTACACTGCTGAGGGAAGCAGTGGGCAAGATAGGAGAGATCTGCTCTGCCACCAGGGTTAGTTCCCTGGCTGGAGACCGTGCTGCAGTGGCTGCGGATTGCTTCATAGTGCTGATACTTAATCCCTTGCACCACAAGGGAGACCCAAGACTATTTATTTTTAAAAAATGATTGTAGGATATGGGTGAAAGGTAAATGGAGTGCACTGTACTATTCTCCACTGTTTTGTTTACAAATATAATAAGTTAAAAAACACATGACAACACCAGTTTGTACATCAATGATCAGAGCAACTTTATTTATCAGAGCCAAAAATGAGATTTAACACACCCATTTATCCATTCATCACTTACACAAATACCATGAAATATTACTGGCAATAAACATGAATGAATTTTTAATGATGCTCAATGAAGGAGTATGTCACAAAGGTCCACATATTGTATAAGTCTACTGGCATGAAGTATTCAGAGCAGGCAAATCTATGCAGATAGAGAGTACTTAGTGATAGCTAAAGGCAGGGAATTGGACGACAGTAACAGATGTGTGCAGAGTTTCTCTTCTAAGGGTATGGTAGAAGAAAAAAATGCTCTACCATAGCTCCTGAACTATATATTTTAAATAGGAGAATTGTAAGCACATGAATTAATTACAGGTCAAAAAGCTGCAGGGGGGCTTCCCTGATGGCGCAAGGGGTTAAGATGCAATCTATGAAGCTATCTGCAGCCACTACAGAACAAGTTCAATCCCTGGCCAGGGAGGAGACCCACATGGTGCAGCAGACCTCTTCTGTCTCGCCTGCTGCTCCCCTCAGCAGTGTATTTCAGGACATCTGCCTGTTCTGTTCCCCACTTTGTCTCTGGTGAATCCTCTCACCCCCACACCTCTGGCCTGTATGCCAGTTCTTGTATTCATAAATAAATCAATCTTAAAAAAAAAAAGCTGCAGGGCCTCCCCGGTGGCGCAGCGGTTGAGCGCTGGGTTGCGAAGCTGCCCGCAGCCTCTGTGGCGCCGGTTCGATCCCTGGCTGCTCCCCGGCCACCAGAGGAGGGTCCCACATGGCGCGCAGACCTCTCCTGCCGCCCGCTGCTCCCCTCAGCAGTGTACTTCGGTCCTTCTGCCTGCTCTGCTCCCCGCTCTGGCTCTGGTGAATTCTCTCACCCTCCCGCGCTTCTGACTGTACCCAGTGCATGTATAAACAAAACAAACAAACAAACAAACAAATAAATAAAACATGCCTCTATAAAAAAAAAATAAAATAAAAAATAAAAAATAAAAAAAAAAGCTGCAGGGCCTCCCTGGTGGCGCAAGGGGTTAAATCTCAGCACTATGAAGCTATCTGCAGTCACTGCAGCACAAGTTCCATCCCCAGCCAGGGAGCTAACCCATATGACACAGCAGACATCCCCTGCCATTCCCCTCAGCAGTGTATTTCAGTGGATCTGCCTGGTCTGCTTCCTACTCTATCTCTGGTGAATCCTCTCACAAACACTTCTGGCCTATACTCCAGTTCTTGTATGTATAAATAAAAATAAATCTTAAAAAAAGAATGTTTATGGGCCTCCCTGGTGGCACAGGGGTTAAAGACAGCACTATCAAGTAATTGGCAGCCACTGCAACACAAGTTCATTCATCAGCCGGCCAGGGAGCAACCCACATGGCGCAGCAGACCTCTCCTGTCTCGCCCACTATTCCCCTCAGCAGTGTATTTCAGTAGATCTGCCTGTTCTGCTCCCCAGTCTCTCTGATGAATCCTCTCACCCTCCACATCTCTGGCCTGTACCCCAGTTCTTGTATGCATAAATAAATCTTCAAAAAAAAATGTTTGACTAAAGTAAGGAAAAAAAGTATGCCAAGAGCCCCAACTTGCCTGTTCCTTTCCTCTGATCCCCCAGTATGCCCCAAGAATGGAATTTGCTTCTGTCTTTCCCCTAAGGCAAACTGCACATGAAAAATGCCCTACACCTTCAACCTTTTCTCAAGGCAAGGACTTAGAAGGTAAGAATTCCATGAATGAAAGTGTAATGTGCAGAGAGTACTTCAATAAACAAGGCAAATTCACATCCAATTTACCAGTCTTTAGAAGGCAAGAGTTTTCACACAACCTGTTCATGCCCCCTTCCTAAAAAGAGTAAGTTACAATCCTACACAGAAGGCTGGTGACAAGGTAAGGTCAATGATATCCCAATCCTGATGTAAAATCTAAGTCAATCAAGGAAGAGAAAGATACTAGGTCCCAGGGAAAGATAAACAAGCACACACCTACATACAAAGGGTGTAGCTAAGACTGGACCCACTGTCACAAGACATCCAGAGAAGCCAACATTCCTGTGGCCTGGTTTTAGTGCACAAGAATTATCCACACAAACCCTATGGAGCAAGAAAGCAGGAGGCAAAAAGTCCAAAGGCCTGGCACCTCCTTTTAGAACCTTAATATCACTTTCTCTAACACAGACTCTTCTTTCTGAAATATATGATTCTAGAAGACGACTGCCCCAAACTCCCTATGAAGATTACTTTAATTTTGTAACTTATAACCAGATTATTGGCTATCTGAAGAACACATGCAAAACAGACATTTGGGGGGCCTCACTGGTGGCACAAAGGGCTGAGTCTCAGCACTATGAAGCTATCAGCAGCCACCGCAACACAAGTTCGGTCCTGGCCAGGGAGCTGACTCATATAGCGTAGCAGACCTCTCCTGCCTGGCCTGCTGTTCCTCTCAGCAGTGTGTTCCAGTCAATCTGCCTGTTCTGTTCCCCACTCTGTCTCTGGTGAATCCTCTCACCCCCTGCACCTCTGGCCTGTACTCATAGGGAGTTTGGGCAGTAGTCTTCTAGAATCATATATTTCAGAAAGAAGAGTCTGTGTTAGAGAAAGTGAGATCAAGGTTCTAAAAGGAGGTGCCAGGCCTTTGGACTTTTTGCCTCTTGCTTTCTTGCTCCACAGGGTTTGTGTGGATAATTCTTGTGCACTAAAACCAGGCCACAGAAGACAGAAGCTCTTGTATGCATAAATAAATAAAAAAAAAAAGACAATTGGCTGCTGAAAGCACACAGAGAAAGGGGATGTGACACCCTAGGCCTCACAAGAGGAAATGCTAGTTACCTCAAAACCTGATCAAGGAAGGAAGAGAATCACATCATGCACCACATACTCAGACTGCCTATTCAATCATCTCCCAAAATAAAGGCAGAAGAGCTAGGCTGTGCCTGATTAACTGATATTGTGACACATCTTTAAGCCCACCTATCTTCATTTCATAAGTCAGTGTTCAATGACACAAAACTGTCCTGCCTTAATTCACCAGCAAGGCCTGGAGCTTTCAAGTAAATAAACCAGTGGCAGTACTGGTCCCGCCCAGCTGTCCCCACCTTCCTGCTTATGGTATGCATAGACAGTGTCACTTTGAAATAACATTATTAACTCATTGTTACTAGTGATCACTAGTGTAAACTCCCAATGCCACGCCAAGACCATGACACAAATTTCAGCTCTCAGATGCATGTATTCCCTATACATCCGTATTTATTTTTCACATTTGTGAGGTGAAAACAACTAATGTGACTTCCCATAGTTTCTAATATATGAAATATACATTTGATAAGCTATAGAATATATCTGGCCTTTCTCAGCATTCAGTAGTTGTACTGTAAACTGACATTTTTAAATATGTCTAACTTTCTATTAAAGTGTATATTTTTAGGGCCTCCCTGGTGGCGCAAGGGGGTAAGCACCGCACTATGAAGCAATCTGCAAGCAGCCTCTGCAGCACGAGTTTGATCCCCGGCCAGCCAAAGAGCAACCCATATGGCAAAGCAGACCTCTCCTGTCTCGCCTGCTGCTCCCCTCAGCAGTGTGTTTCAGTTGGTCTGCCTGTTCTGTTCCCCACTCTGTCTCTGGTGAATTATCTTACCCCCCGCATCTCTGGCCTGTACCCCAGCTCTTGTATGCATAAATAAATAAATCTTAAAAAAAAAGTTTGTATTTTTAATAAGGACACGTATATTAAAAATTTAGACATGGATTTATCTAAGCTCTTTCTGAATCTCTATTTCAGAATTTATAAGCTGAAAACAAGACCACTAAAAAAAGACTCCCATTTACCCCATCTTTTGTTACGTAAACCCTAGCTATAGTTTAGAATCAATCTATCATCTCAGTTATTTTTTTTTCCATCTCAGCTACTTTTAACATGAGGTCTCTGTTTCTGTCTCTTCAGCTTTCCCCTTTCATCCAGACCAAGTGATCCTCTAAACTCAAGCCCTTACTTCTACTAATTCTTATGCAAAAGAAGGTATATCAATATACTCTCCTTACTTAGAAAGTCTTTTCCAATATCATCTTTTCTACGAACAGAGGGCATAACTTCCAAAGACATCATTGAGAAAACAACAATTCTATTTTCAACAATTTCAACATTGTGCCCTTTTTCAGTGAAAGGTAAAGCCTACCTGTCCACATCGTCCAGATTATCCACAGGTGATCCAAGTCGATCACTTAGCCTCCGCCGTTCAGGTATGCCAACACAGAAGTGGTCATTTCCAACAGTGATCCTTAAGCTCTGTTCCAAAGAGTCAGATCGCAGACCAGGAGAGCGTCTCTACAAAAGTAAAAGATAAATGTAACATTCAACAGGACCAAGATATTCCTAGACCTAAAAATGTTTTTCTTTCTAGTCACTGTTGTGCTTCAAGATGACAAATGCCTATGGTATATTACTACTACAAAGCTAAAGAACTTGGGCCTCCCCGGTGGTGCAGCAGTTGAGCACTGGGTTGCGAAGCTGCCCGCAGCCTCTGCAGCGCTGGTTTGATCCCCGGCTGCTCCCCGGCCACAGGAGGGGGGTCCCACATGGCGCGCAGATCTCTCCTGCAGCCCACTGCTCCCCTCAGCAGTGTGCTTCCGTCCTTCTGCCTGCTCTGCTCCCCGCTCTGGCTCTGGTGAATTCTCTCACCCTCCCACGCTTCTGACTGTACCCAGTGCTTGTATAAATAAATAAAATAAAAATAAATAAATCTTAAAAAAAAAAAACTAAAGAACTTAAGAAAAATTACCATTTTTTGATGAAAGTCTATTATATATCCCACCCTCCCAAATCACTGGCCTCTCATTCTCTCATCAGTTGGTACTGGGCATGGAAACAGTAGTGATGTATACTTCCAAAATGCAAGCCAAAAACAGGTCTTAAAAAAGTATTTCTGATAGCAATCCCTACTATAAAGTCATTAAAACATGGTGACATGAAATAAATGTGGAAAAAAGATCTACTTCAGGTAGGACAGTGAAGAGAAAGCTTTTCTGAGGTGATACCATTTACCCTGAGGCCTGAGGATGGAATGTTAGCCTTGCAAGGATGTTTCAGGTAAAAATAAGCTCTATAACGAACTTAGCCTGTTTGGGTAATAAAGAAGGCTGTGTGACTATAGCAAAATGTAGAAAGTACCTCGAAGTCACAACTAGGAATGTGGAGTTTATTGTTAATGTACTAAGAAGCCACAGGAGGGTTTTAAGCAGGGCAATGATGTGATCTGACTACAGCCTTCCTCTGGATGTGATGAGCATTGTTCACACCCTCATCTCCTTCAGGACTTCATAAAAACTCAAACTTCCAAGGAGACCTTCACTGGCTACCCTATCAAAAACTATTAACTTTTTTTTTTAGCACTTAATTACACTGAACATCTTGCTTCTCTTACTTGTCATCTGACTCCAACTGCAAGAATGTAAACTCCATGAGGGCAGTGGGGCAGTCTGGTTTGCTCACTGTTATGTTCCCACTGCCCAGAATGCACCTACCACATGGCAGATGTCAGTCTACTAGATATATGAAATGGAGGTTTTAAAATGTCCCTTTGGTTGCTGCATAGACATAAACTGGAGGAGAACAAAACAGGAATGTAAGGGAGTATAATGTGATGATCCAGGTGGGAAGTAATAAACTAGGGTAAGGACATGCAGAGTTTCGGGGAAGTATTTTGGCGGTAGAGCACAGGGAGATCAAGTTAATCTCACACATCAGATTTGGAAGTCGGCAGATGATCACTGCTTCTGACTGAGCAATGGGTGATGTCAGTCAGGACAGAGAAGGTTCCAGTCAAGAAACTGTACCTTGGAGAAGGACAGGAAGTCATGGAGACTAATAGTGCTTCCTCTGTAGCGACAAACACTCAAGAGTATCCCTGTTTAACTACGAAAACTTTAACAAAGACGAGTCAATTCACCCAGGACCAAGACTACCCAGAGCACTGGGATACGCTGGGAATCACTCAACAGGTTTAGAAAAAGTAGAAAAAGGAAAATGATGACACAGGTTTAAAAAAGATCGATGCCCTGCAAAGAACGACACATTTCAAAACACCACACCCTGCCCAGAGCCGCTATTAGACTTGGCATCAAGTGAGGCCGCATCCAGCCCACAGGCAACTTCTTCCCTCTGGCAGGGAAGCGTAAATCAATCTCCTGCGTGGGCAGCAGGCAGACCCGAGCGCCAGCGCAGCTGCACCCCTGCTAGCTGCGAGCCCTTCCCCCGGCGGCTCGGGCCCCTCTGGGCTCCTCAGCTGGTACCAGCCTCGTCTCACAGGGCTGGGAGTGCAAAGAGAACGGGTTTGCGAGCGCAGCGCCGACTGCGCCGCGCCTCAATGCGAGCCGGTCGCCGTTCCGGAGCCCGGGCTTCTGCGCGCCGCCCCTCGGAGCGGCAGCCGCTTTCACGCCAGTCGTCCGCCCCGAGCGGCCGCGGCCGCCCTCGCTCTCCGCCGGCGCGGCCTCGAAGCCCCCAGCCGGCAGGCTCAGCCCCGGGCATCCGGAACCGCGACCGGAGGAAGCGGCGGCTGCTGAGAAAGCCCCGGGCGCGCACGGTCCGGGCGGCGCCGCCCGGCAAACTTTCCCTCTCTGCCCTCCGCTGAAGCGGCCCGTGCCTGGAGCCGCCTCTCCCGCCCGGGGCCGTTACTCGCAGCCGCGGCTCCCGAGGGAGCGGGCGCCCCGGGGAGGGGCCTGCGCCGGGGTCCGGGCCTGGAGGCCGCGGAGCGCCGGGGCTGCGGGCGTCTCCGGAGGCGGGAACCCGGGGCGCGGGGGCCGGAGGAGGAGGGAGTCGGGCCGAGGGTGGGATTACCCGGCTGCCGCCGTCGCCTGGATGGTCTCCGCGGCCGTCCCGGGCGAATTCCGCGCGGGACTCCCCCCGACTGCCGGCTCGGAAACCTGCCGGGCCAGGCGGGAACAGTCGTCGGCCCCGCGGCGGCGACGGGGATCCGCGACGGGTCCGCGGCGGGGACGGGGAGACACGACGACCCCGCGGCGGGGACGGCGAGGCCCGGCGGCCGCGGGGCGGAGACGGGGAGCTGCGGCGACCCCGCGGCGGGGACGGCGAGGCCCGGCGGCCACGGTGCCCTGAGGGAGAGCGGGGCCGGCGAGCCGGTGTCCGAGACGAGGAGGAGCCAGAGGGCGCCGGCGAGGTGCGGCGAGAAGGGCCTGAAGAGGTGCCGGAGCTGCGGCCCGTGCGCGGGCCGCCCCCGCCGCTCTCTTTAGACCGGTGCGAAGACACGGAGGAGCGGGCGCCGCTGCGGTACATTGCTCCGGCAGCGGCGGCCACGGCGGCAGCTCCGACCCCGGGGCGCCCTGGACGCCGGACCGCAGCGCGCCGCCGCAGCCGCTGCAGCCACGGCCGCCGCGCGCCGCCCCGGCCCCCAGACCTGCCCCCTCCCCTGAGCCCCGCGGCGCCCCCGGGCCGGGCCGAGCGCGCCTCCGAGGCGGAGACTGGCAGTTGGAGGGCGCGAGCACGCGCCGACACACACCCCCGCCCTCCGGGCTCCCGGCTCCTCCACTGAGGGAGCCACCGCCGGGGCCAGCGGCGGGGCGGAGCGCGGAAGCCGGCGCGAGGCTGGGCCACGGGCAGGGAAATGAAGCGCGCGACCTGCGTGACGCACGCCCCGCCCCCAGGCCCGCAAGATGGCGGCCGCCGAGCCGCCCACTTCCCCTCCGCTGGCGTGCACGTGACCCCGAGACCTCCGTCCTGGGTGGGCGCCCCCGCCGAGACCCAAGGAAAGGGGTTAGCTAGAGCCGTGCCGGGTCTGCCCGGAGCGCCCGCCCCGCGGGAGCGCCCGCCTTCCGGGCGCTGGGAGCATCTTCGCCTTTCCCCGGGCTCCCGACCCGTTAATTTACTTGGTGCTAATGCCTCGGAGATTGTGCGCCTTGACAACAGCAACCGCGTTAGTGTGGCTCCCATGAACCGCAGGACAACCAACCATCAGCTTACTTTCCAGTTCACCTGATTTCTGGAGAGTCACTTTTCCTGAAATCAGGGAGAGTCTCTCTCTCTCTCTCTCTCTCTCTCTCTCTCTCTCTCTCTCTCACCTAAAACACTTTTGATCATAGAGATAACCACTCATCGCCAGGGGTTCATATCTTAACAGATTTAGTTTAGCAGAAGAGTTTTTTCTAATGAGCTATTCTGACTCCTTCCCTCGCAACCTTATACCGAAATTTCCCTTATACTTGTGGTATAGAAGTTACCATTCCCATTCCCGGGGCCCTGAATACTGAGAAAATTCAAGAAAAGACAACTCACAAGAGTAACAGTGACCAAAACATGAAAAAGTTGACCCTAACCAAACTCTTCAAAATAAAACCTAAACATTAGGGCCTCCCCTGTGGCGCAGCGGGTTGAGCGCCGCGCTGTGAAGCTGTCCGCAGCCTCTGCAGTGCCAGTTCGATCCCGGCGGGCCACGGAGCAACCCACATGGAGCAACCCACATGGCGGGACAGACCTTTCCTGGTCTCGCTTGCTGCTACCCTCAGCAGTGTCTTCGGTCTGGTCCTTCTGCCTGTTCTGCTCCCCGCTCTGTCTCTGGTGAATTCTCTCGCCCTCCCACGCCTCTGACCTGTTACCCCTGTGCTTGTATAAATAAATAAATAAATCTTAAAAAAAATATTTATTTATACAAGCATTGGGTACAGTCAGAAGCGCGGAAGAGTGAGAGAATTCACCAGAGCCAGAGCGGGGAGCAGAGCAGGCAGAAGGACCGAAGTACACTGCTGAGGGGAGCAGCGGGCGGCAGGAGAGGTCTGCGTGCCATGTGGGACCCTCACCGGGTGGCCGGGGATCAAACCGATGCTGCAGAGGCTGCGGTCAGCTTCGCAACCCAGTGCTCAACCGCTGCGCCACCAGGGAGACCCTAAATAAATAAATCTTTAAAAAAAAAAAAAAAAAAACAGCTTACACATTAGTAGAGTAGCAGGATCTTGTGAGCGTTCTTGTCTAGGGCCCAAGAAGAAAGTGACATGGACAGAAATTTTATTAAGCATAGATTAGGGGCCCCAGGGCCTTCTTGGTGGGGCAAGGGGTTAAGACGCAGCCTGCAAAGCGCTCTGCAGCCTTTGCAGCGCGAGTTCAATCCCTGGACCGCCAGGGAGGAACCCACATGGAGCAGCAGACCTCTCCTGACTCCCCTGCTGCTACGCTCAGGAGTGTACTTCCATTGATCTGCCTGTTCTGTTCCCTGCTCTCCTCTGGTGAATCCTCTCACCCCGCCATACCTCTGGCCAGTACCCCAGCTCTTGTATGCACAAATAAATAAATAACATTATTTAAAAAAAGAAGAAGAGGGGGCAAAAAGGCTTACCAAGCCTCTTAAACGAGCCTCTATCAGTTGAATACACGCAACCATGGGGAGTGTAGGGTAAATGATTGTCAGGTTTTTCTGCCCTCCCACCATTAGGATTGATGACGGATCCCTGCCGTCCTGAATGCATGCCTGATGGTGTGTCCCTGGAGTAGGGTGTCGGCATGCATAGGTGGGTACACCTGGGCTGAGACTGGGCTTTTAAGGGTGGAGTCAGGAGGATACCAGCAGAACACCAGAGGAAAACAAGCAAGAGAGCGGATCAGAAGCACCAGAAGAGAACAAGAGTAGAATAAGAGCAGGAGAAGAATGAAAGAGATGGGCCTCCCAGGTGGCGCAGCGGTTGAGCGCTGGGTTGCGAAGCTGCCCGCAGCCTCTGCAGCGCTGGTTCTGTTATAGGGCAGCCCCGACAGTTCAATTCCCAGCTGCTCCCCGACCATCGGAGGAGGGTCCCGCATGGCGCGCAGACCTCTCCTGCCGCCCGCTGCCCCCTCAGCAGTGTACCTCGGTCCCTCTGCCTGCTCTGCTCCCCGCTCTGGCTCTGGTGAATTCTCTCACCCTCCCGTGCTTCTGACTTTACCCAGTGCTTGTATAAATAAATAAACAAATAAATCTTTTTTAAAAAAAGAATGAAAGAGAAGCAGAAGAGAGAGAATGCTACCGCAAGACAACGCCTGAGAGCCCCAGAAAGAATGAAGATTCGCCGGGGGCTGGGAGGCCTACCAGCCTCCCGGCCGCCTGGCACCTCTGCCTGCTGTGTACCTGGTAAATGGCAATAAAAGCCTGAAAAGCCACCGAGGGCTCCAGGACTCTCCTTTACCCGTATGCGTAGGATCATAGAGATCCTGCCCTGTGCCCTTCCTGTCACTACAGGGAGATAGCTCCCTGAAGATTAACACATGGCAGCTTGGAGCCCAGGACCACCATCCCTCTCTCCTACTCTGCAGGGGTTTTAGGCTCTCATCCTTGAGGCACAGGGCCTCAGATAATTTTCCACTCTCTGGGCCTCCCCTGGTGGCGCAGTGGTTGAGCTCTGGGCTGCGAAGCTGGCCGCAGCCTCTGCAGCGCTGGTTTAATCCCGGCTACCGGCGAGGGTCCCACATGGCGGGCAGACCTCTCCTGCTGCCCACTGCTCCCCTGAGCAGTGTACTTTGTCACTCTGCCTGTTCTACTCTCCGCTCTGGCTCTGGTGAATTCTCTCACCTTCCCGTGCTTCTGACTGTACCCAGTGCTTGTATAAATAAATAAATAAATCTTCAAAAAAATTTTTAAAAAAACAAACAAAAAAAAAAAATTTTCCACTCTCCACAGGACCTCTACCCTGTCTGCCAAACCAAAATCTGTCTCAAAAAATGGTGTGACATTTTTTCATGTACCACCTGGAAATACAAAACCTGAAATTGGTATGAAGATGGTTTTTGATTCCAAAGCAAAGACAGAACAAAGACAAGTGTGATTATAAAGGTTTCTGGGGCCTCCCTGGCAAGAGGTTAAGTGTCAGCACTACAAAGGTATTGGCAGCCATTGCAGCACCAGTTCAATCCCTGGCCAGGGAGGTGACCCACATGGCACAGCAGACCTCCTGTCTCACCCACTGCTCCCCTCAGCAGTGTATTTCAGTGGATCTGCCTATTCTGCTCCCCACTCTCTCTGGTGAATCCTCTCACTCCCCCCATCTCTGGCCTGTTCCTCAGTTCTTGTGTGTATAAATAAATAAATCTTTTTTAAAAGAAAAATAAATAAAAGGTTTCTGTTTCCTGATTTATCCCTATAATTTCTATTTCAAATGTAAAATATATCCAGAGCCGGGCCTCCCTGGTGTCACAGTGGGTTAAGTGCAGCGCTGTGAAGCTGTTTGCAGCCTCTGCAGCACAGATTAGATTCCTGGCCAGTCAGGGAGATATGCACATGGCGCGGCAGACCTCTCCTATCTCGCCCGCTGTTCCCCTCAGCAGTGCTTTCGATCCATCTGGCTCTTCTGCTCCCCACTCTGTCTCTGGTGAATTCTCTCACCCTCCTGAGCCTCTGGCCTATACCCCAGCTCTTGTAAAAATCTTAAAAAAAAGTATCTCTCTCTCTCTCTCTCTCCAGGGCCTCCCTGGTGGTTCAAGGGGTTAAGAAGCAACCTATGAAGCTACCCACAGCCACTGCAACAAGAGTTCCATCCCCAGCCAGGGAGCTACCCACATGGCGCGGCAGACCTCCCCTGTCTTGCCCACTGCTCCCTTCAGCAGTTCATTTCAGTCAATCCTCCTGTTCTGCTCCCAACTCTGTCTCTGGTGAATCCTCTCACCCCGCCACCATCCCCCCAGCCCTCGCACCCCTGGCCTGTGCCCCTGTTCTTGTATGTATAAATAAATAAATCTTTAAAAAATAAATTAATTAATTTTTTTTTAAAAAAACACTCCACTGGAGGGGAAAATAAAATATATCCAATTTCATGTTTATAGTGGCATGTGTTTACACCATACTGTAGTACAATTTTTATTAGCTTTGCTTAAATGCAGCTTACTGCACTCCCAAACATTATCCCCTGCTCCCTATGGGCATTTAAATTTCACATTCCGGACTTTGGGTCTTGTGACTTTATCACCTATGCCACCAGGGAGGTCCAGGTGTCAATACATTTTAAATCACCGCTAGTTACATACTGTATCAACTTTTTTTTTTTTTTAAGATTTATTTATTTATTTATTTATTTATTTATTTATTTATTTATTTATTTATTTGTACAAGCACTGGGTACAGACAGAAGCGCGGGGAGGGTGAGAGAATTCACCAGAGCCAGAGCGGGGAGCAGAGCAGGCAGAAGGACCTAGGGACACTGCTGAGGGGAGCAGCGGGTGGCAGGAGAGCTCTGCAAGCCATGTGGAACCCTTGCCGGCAGCCGGGGATCGAACCGGCGCTGCAGAGGCTATGGGCAGCTTCGCAACCCAGCGCTCAACCGCTG